TGGACATCCGATTATAAGCACTGTTCAATTTATGAAATGTCGGCTTGCTTATCACCTCCCCGCAAGCTAACAGTGGCTTCAGCAATGTTAAGCTTGTCACACAAATCCTGAAATCTGGGTATAGACAGAGCTTTAGTAAATAGATCAGCTAATTGATCAGTGGTATGAACATGTGAAATGCGAAGCACATTGTTCTGAATGCATTCACGAATGAAATGGAAATCTATTTCAATATGTTTTGTTCTAGCATGGAAAATAGGATCGTTAGCAATTGCTATGGAGGATGTGTTATCACTCATCAAGACTGTCGGCTTGGATGAAAGAATTTGAAATTCCTGTAATAACCTGCGAAGCCAGGTAATATCCGTAGCAGCCGTAGCAAGAGCACGATATTCTGCTTCGGTAGACGAACGTGCGACGGTCTTTTGTTTCTTGACTTGCCAAGAAATGAGGTTGCTACCAAGAAAAGCACAAAAACCAGTAATCGATTTTCGATTAAGAGGGTCGCCAGCCCAATCAGAATCTGAATAAGCATGGAAGTCAAGACTTGTTGCAGTAATCGGCAAACCAAATTTAATAGTGCCTTTAATATAACGTAGAAGACGTTTAAGCAGTTTGAAATCAGTATCATCAGGACTATGCATATGTTGACATAACTTATTCATAGTAAAGGCAATATCCGAACCCGTAAGCGTCAAGTATTGTAGAGATCCTACCAAATGCCGAAAAAGATCTGCTGTAGCGATATTCAGAGGAATAGCAGGAGTTGTTGAATCAACAATAACCTTAGACGAAATTGGAGAAGAAATCGGCTTACACTCAGCCATGCCAGCTCGGTGAAGAATAGAGGCTGCATAGTTAGCTTGAGATAAGTGTAAACCGCTTGCTGAATAAGAAACCTGCATGCCGAGAAAATAGGAAATTCTGCCCAGATTCTTCATGTGAAACTTATGGGAAAGACCATTGAGCAGATGATTAATAACAGTTGTATCATTACCAGTAAGCAATATATCATCAACATATACCAGAATATAGAGAACAACTGATTGTTTGTTGTAAATTAATAACGAAGGATCAGC